AAACACGCTTACCCGTAGATAGTCTCGCCTTTACTTTTTTTTTTTCTAAAAACTCACCTGAAATAAGAGCGCGTGTACCAAGTTTTCGATAAAGTCTTACTTCCTGCCTCGTGGCAGCGACAATCCTCGTCGCTGCGGTGTAAATAGACAAAGATCTTTAATTAGTTGTCTCGTTTGGGTTTACCTCGTAGGTAACGCGTTGTACGGTGGTTCGACCATTTTTGTTCATCTACGATTATTAATAGCGACTGGTAGGACTTGCGCTATCTCGGATTTATTGGCGCAAACAGTGCCTACTTTTCGCAGATCTGCTATCACGCATGATTAAATATATACGTACGCGGAAAAGATTATAATTCACTGTATATTATATTGTAAGAGTTATAGATTTAGTTTTCAGCAATTATACTGTTACGACCTGATGCGAAAGTCTGGCTGGTACTAGGCCTTGATTAATACACACATTTCGTAAGATACAGGTAGCCCGTTATTAGTTCACCGTGAATACACACGCGCGCGCGCGTAACTTACGTATCTCGTGAGAGAGTGCACATTTGTTTTTTCTTACGTCTGTATTTTCATCCTGCGCCTTACATATTTCTGTAGCTGATAAGATGTGTATTGCAAGTTGAAAAATACGTAATAAAACTAACTCATAAATCATAAGAATCGCGATTATACTTGGAATTAGAATAAACAGAGCGCTTCGTTTCGTAATTGAAAAGAAAAAATTACGGGTAGCAGAATTATGAGTCGCACTGTAAATCGGAAATTACGAGCATCATCAGTGGAGAGAATCAAGGAACATCGCAATATAAGGGCGCGCTTCCCATAGTCGGATCGGGAACTTCCAAGAAACGTAACGTTACGGGGTAATTTCCAAAGGGGGATAGCACATAAATTGCATAGACCGAGAGCGAACTTTAAAGACAGCTCGGCCTCGCATATAGAAGGCAAGCGCACTCTCGAAATTCGCTCAATTAAGGGAGGTATAGGGCCTAATGCGGCATATCGATCAGGCATAATTAGATCTCGATCGGCGAAGAAAAGGAATTCACTTAAAGGCGCATATAGAAAGTGAATGTGTCGGCCTGTGAGTCTCATTACCCCATTCGTTTTACCGCACATATCTTCTTCTTGTCCCTTATCTGCCTCTTCCTCCCCTCCTATCTCGCTCCCTCGCGCTCGCTGCATTTATTAGCCTTTTTCTCGGCCTCGACCGCGTATACTGCTATTTTATTACGAGGCTAGCGCGCCTTTTTCGAGGACCTGCTGCAGGCCGCGCACAAATGCACCAGCTAGAGACCGTTGCTAGCTAAACACTCGTTAGATGATTAGTGCCTTACTTCGATCTTCTTCGAATTCACGAGGGTGCTTTCATTTTCCTCAAGAGAATCCCATGACGGTGGTCGACCGACAATGCCCACTTTACGCGAGAGTTCTCAGTGCTGAGTTGTAGATGCATAACGAGAACATTACGAGGATAGTCATGAGTTATGGCTAATAAATATCCGCGAAAGAAATACAAAAGTCAAGAGTATGTTATGAATCATAACGTACCTTGATGATATTAGATAATATTCATTTCGATTTCAAACTCTAAACGTAGCAAAGAATTATATGATCGATTTATCAAATCATACTTCCCTCGATATAAACATCCTTCTCTCATTGTTACCGCACGATTTTCTCAATCATTCTCGGCAACGAGCTAGAACATCGTCTTATTTTCCAGCGCATCGAGTATGAGATATATATAAGACGCTCATCGCTTAACCACAACAATCTTTTACACCAAAGATATGAGCCTCCTCTCGGCATTTCTTCGTTTCACGAAAGAAAAATAAACGCTTTCTCGACTCGCGGATGCTCCCTGCTCAAACAGATCATCGCGCGCTCAGGATCCCGGGAGTGCCGCGAATGCCACGACGCGCTCACTGCCAACTTTGTGCCTTGGCTAATCGCAGAGCAGCACCTCCGCCTCCGTCTCGTTCTTTTCGTTTCTCTTCTCGCGGGTACTTTTCGCAACTGCTGCCAACCGACTTTCAATTACGCTCCATTACGGAATAAATGGAGCGATTCGCCGGCCGCCTCGTTGCTCTACCCCCCCCCCCCCCCGTCCTTTTTCTTTTCATCCTCACGCCCGAAAAATTCCGCCGCCGACAACGATGAGCCCCGGCAATATGACGGCCGAACGAATGTCAGGCTCGAGCCTTTATTCGTGCAGCAGGCTCGCGGTTTATACACGCGTGCATATGTTTAGTGTAATTGAATGGCACAACCTTGGGCGCGTTTCTTTGCGCGAACGCGCGTGATGATTTCTTTCTTGTCGCGCTCGGGGGCGTCAGTTCATTAAAGGCAATGGGGAACGAGAGAAACGTACGCTATTTATAATGCATTTTTCAAACGAATAACTCATGGCTAATGATATGGTTATGAATATCGTTTGCTAGCTACTTGAGACATAATGATTTTCATATTTCTTGCTGCTTATCAAGACAAGAAGAACAGATGTAGGAAATGTTTTCGATAAATCTAATCGGTCGCGAGCTGGTAAGCAGACAAGTCCATTTAATTATTTTTATTGATCTATAATTGAGTGATCTAGTAATTTACATTGCACTTTTTAAGATCTCATAATAGACTTGATAACACATAGATCTAATAATTGTTGTTCTATACTTGATCATTAATCTCTCGACTAGTAAAAAATTATACAATATAAAATGTGAAAAAATTTGCAAAACAGTCTGGATCTTTGCACCTTGCGTAAAGCAGTTCAACTGCCAACGCAATTTAAATTTATTACTTTTATTACTTTTCCGTGTTCCGAATGTCAGTAAAATTATATATATATATCACTGTTATTTTGAAGGCTTATCCAGGGAAATTCGCAAGTCGCCCTTCATTCATAGCACTTGAACATTTATAAGTCGCATAAGATGACACGTAAATGACAGGCGAAAAAATTGGTTATTCGACGCCTTTGACCCAAATGCACGAAGAACTTGACAGAAATCACGTAAGGTCGTAAGTCCGTCCAGTATAGTGACAGAAAATAGCCTTTCGACAGGCGTATCGTAATATAAGACGAGTATTCAATTGCTGACACCATTCAAGTGATTTTGCAGTTGAATTACCGCAGGAACGAATGGCCGTCGTCGTCGCTCGCGAATGCTCGGAGTCGAGAAATGATGCTTGACGAATCGATTACCGGCAAAGTACTCCATCCCAGCTGCCTAGTGAAAACGCGGTCACTGGCTCAGAAAGCGAGAAAGAAAGAGATTCAGAGAAACCAATCTTCGGATTTTTATTATAAATAACAAAAGCTATTGTATTGCGATGCATTGCATTTCGAGATGATAATACAAAGGACTTTCAAGTGCGCTCTAGAGCGGGGAGGGGGGGGGGGGGTTTGAATAAAGCTTTATTTCGCTTTTTTTCCGCTCTCATTAGAAAGCTCGGCGAGACAGCTGAAAGATAGTAACGCGAATTCACATGCATAAGGACAGCCACACACACGGGAAATTAAATTATTCAAAGTTTTATCGGCGCGACTGCATTGCACGAATGATAAATCATTAAAGTAATGTAGATGCGCGCGAATCGTTTGTTTGCACTGCACACGAAGCGTACAATGTAAAAGGCGCGAAATAACAGCACTCAGTCTCGAGAGTTGAGTTGCTGCTGCTGCTATCTTCTCATTCACTTATGATGTGATTTATCCATCGGAGCTTGTATTAAAAGATAGATATACACATATATATTTTTAATGAGTTTTTCGTATAAACGATAGCACTCGCGCTTGCGCGAGAGGGTAATCATACATTATTCGTCGGGCCGTGCAATAAATTGCGCATGCGTCCGGTTCGCGCGCGCGAGAGTCCATCCGTCGACGTATATATGAAATTCTCCTTTCCTTCCCTTCCTTTTCTCCCGCTCTCTCTCTCTCTCTCTACTTCTTTCTTATATATGTGCATGAGTGTGTGTGTGTGTGTGTGTGTGCACCTGCCCCGTTTGCACACGCGTTATAATACCCAACGACTGTAAATTGAGGGGGCTGGTAGTATGGTATACATATACGAAATCAGCTCTTTAAAAGGGCCTCGAGCTACCGCGAGCGCGAATATTGTCCGCAACAAAAAAGAAAAAAAATAAAAAAAAGAACCATATACGAGCTCGTGATATATAATTGCACAAGAGAGCTGCGAGTTTTGCGCAAGCCACCTACACATCAGCCGGCTTTCAAGGCCCCTCCTGCCGTTCTTTTTTTGCTCTCTCTCTCTTTCTCTCTTTTCGTTCCTTTGCTACAGCTCTTTGCTACGTTTCATTTAATTTATAGAACAATCAACCTAATTTTACGTTAAATACACATGGATTCACTGTTTCAACCTCGCGTAAGTAATTGGATTCAATAAAAATAAATATTTAACAATATAAAAATAAATGCATTAAGATGGTAGTGAAATATATTTGATTATTTTATAAATCAATATCAGTATAATTAATGACATCTATCTGATGAATATTACAAAATTTCTTATCTATAAATAACCTAATAAAATCACCGATCAATCTAATAAATTACTTAAAGCTGAAAATGGTATCATTCGAAGTATTATTGGACACTTTTTTTTGCAATGAGACAATTCACTTTTCTGAAAATATCATAGAAGGCAAAGTCAGTTATATAAATGTATGCATTCTATACATGGCAATGAATCATTACCAATACAGCTGTCTTCATGCTTAATGTCTAAAAATACACCCAAAGAAAACGGGAAGTTTTGAAAATCTCGATAAAAGAGCAAATATATCGTCGCGATTATACGCGGTTGATAGCATTACCCGAAAAAGAATGACTGCAACACCTGTTATTTCGAGCGCACTTTGACTATCTTCTCTCTCTCTCTCTCTCTCTTTCTCCCTCTCGACAGGGCTTCTCGCAAAATATGTAAACGTACAAGGTTTGCCTAACAGATCTAAATTGAAATGCTTACCGTTCGCGTGCGCCTTGCTTACAAGGAAGCTAATCCCGAGAAGTACAAGACCAAGATTTGTCTGCACTCGACAGCCGATGGCACCCATGCTTTTTTGTTTTCTCTCGACACTTCACGTATACGATACTACTCCTCGAGATTTTTATTTGAGAAATCAACCAATCGTTGAGTAATATCCGTGAATGTTGAGCTTCAGCTCATGACTCTCGCGACAACTCGCGCCCTCGCATCGCGCGCGTGCAACAACAGAAAGAAGAAAAAAAACACGCCGAAGAGTAGAAAGAAATCGGTTGAGAAAACGGAAGATGCTTCTCGTGCGGAGTCACGCAAGACACTGAAGGAGGGAGCACGAGCGCGCGACTCGACGAACGAAAGAGAGAGAGAGAGAGAGGGACCGACGTGAGTGGGGCCTTAACGACGGGTCCCAACAAAAGACACAAGGATGAGAAAGTCACACACATACACAAGAGGGAGAGAAAGAGAGAGAGAGAGAGAGAGAGAGAGAGAGATACAAGTGACTGTGTGAGCTGCCAGTGTGGGCGTCGTGAACCTAGCCGTTTGTCCTTTTTTTATCTTTCTCTGCTCACATCTCGCGCACGGCGTTCGGCTTCTTGGCTCTCCTTTCTCTTTGTCTCTGATAGAGCGCGAGGCTTTAGATTCGAAAATTACTACCCAGCCACGAAAATCGGCATCGCGGCAACCGCGCAACGCTGTTATCTATGCGGTTGCTGTGAATCGCTCCTAACGCTTCCGATGCCTCTGCTGCCGCGGCCACTCTATAACACGCTCACGGATATATACTTGTCATGCGATGACTTGCAAGGAACCCACCGATCGCTCGTGAGAGGCTTAGTCTGAGCTAGAACGACAGACTTTTCGTCAGATTCTTTCAAGCATTTGACTTTGTATTTTCCTACTTCCGGTAAATCAATCGAAGGTTGTTCACAATTCCTTAGGAAATTTCAGTTGACAAGTACGAGTAATAATTGTTATGAAAGATTTCTATGCATAAATAACTTGAATAGGATTGAAATTTTTAAGTGTTTCACAATCATGATTGACGATGATGAGGCTCAACCTAAGGTAAAATTAATTATTATGTAGTAATTACTGTTGATCTCTTAAATACAAAGAAACTTAAGGCTTTTGAAAAGCTTTCAAATTTGTTATAAAAATATGTGTGTGGTGTAATTTTCGTTCTCGATTTCTATTGTTTGATGCGTAATCGCGTTGTACTCGACCATGGAGGCAAAGGCAGAAAAACGAGGGTTGATGTTTGGTTGACGGGCAATGAAGAGCTCGAAAATTTCAAATTTAGATGTGCCAACCTCTTCAGAACTTTGATATTAAATTAAAAAAACAATTTACACATGGTAACCTTGCAACAAAAACGCCAACGAAATGTCAACCTTTGTTTTTCTGTCTACCGTTATAATCGATTATAATATGATTATACAAAGTATGTGTAATAAAAAGTTTATTTAAAATTAACATAAGTGATATATTTTATGGTAAAAGAGGTATTATTGAATTTAAATTACTGAATTAAATACGTCTTTGAGTTCGCGCGTGTTCGTGTACATGTGTCAAGCAAGTCTAAATTTTCTGACAAGATAATTTTGACATAATTAAAAGTAGAAAATTCGATTTAATTTTTAACAAGCTGTAAGAGAAAGAACGAACCGAGAGATTCAAGAGCTTCGTTAAATTCATTGTGAACGTTGTGAGCTAAATATAGGAATATTAAAAATCCGCGCGATAAATATTCATGAGTGTTTGACAGTTTCTCTGTGCCTTCGAGCACAAACAAAAAATATTATCGACGTTTTGACATCGAGAATAAAGAAATTCTTTCGTGAAGAGTCAAATTTGCGCTCTACGCCAACGCCATTACCCGTGACTAACTTTACTTTCACACGATGTAATTTCCAAACTTGATCAAGCCATTAATTTCATTTCTTAAAGCGAAAGTGCGTGTTCAAAATTTTCATTATTGTCAATCGAACGCTGACTAATACGGCCAGCCCAGCAATAACGTAAAAGTTGAATGACCGCGCAATATGAATAATGGTTATCGTGGCTGAAGCGAAATAAATAATCGAAAGCTACAGCTAATTAGCGTAATCCGAGCTGGATTTTGTGCAAAAGCCTCCTTCGCGGCGAAAGGAAGAAATTCGATCGTGCAGCGCTAATGAAAGTCATTTATCTTGGCCGATCTTCACTCCTGTTCGCGTGAGTACCCGCGAGTACCGATGCAGTTCGCGCGCGAGCGCACGCCGCGTACATATCGGTTTTATTCGCGTGTGCCACCTCGTATGCCGTGGCTGCAGTCTGCGCCGCCTGAGCCGCCGAGTTGTTAGTGAAAGTAAGCGCGAGAGCAGCTATTTCATAACGACTCTCCCCTGAATGAACCATGCGCACACTTCTTCCGAGTTTAAATCTAAAGTGCGCTTTCATTGCTTCGGATTCTTCGACTGATTTATGGTGTTAGTATAGCTAACACTGGTTTATCGAATTTTAGAGTTATTACGCAACCTCTATTAGCTATTAACGCTTACTTTACTATTATGAACATTTTTTTAATACAGCACGCTTTTTATAGTTATGTTGTCTTTAAATGAAATCGTTATAATCAGTTTGACGTTTCATAGTTTTTTTATTTTCTTTATTATATTCTAAAATTCAATTTTAATTATGCTCTTTTTATAAATATTTAACGAGTGTTTTTATGAGTCTCGCGTATGTACGAGCGACAAATTCTTTTTCGTGCAATGACAGTTTGTAATATAAACGACTAATATTTAACTCGTCACGAAAATAACAAAATGAATCACTTAAATCAATAACTTCTTAATTTGCTTATTAAAATACAAATTCTCAGGCCAGATGGTCCTGGTCCCGTTTTGAAAATACTTGGGTACTCGATTGAGAACAAAAAGATTTTAAATCATTTTGAAATTGTGACAATGATTAATAAATTCCTCAATCTAATTCATGAAAGTATTATTCTACAGTAATATTCCATTAAAAATAGTATCGAATCAGTAATATCTTGACATACGATTCTGCAACTTACATATATTACATATATTAATTGTCAACTATTTGTTTAAATGACCAATTTATCATAGTCTGTTATGAAAAAATGATATATCGCACAGGCCTGCAAAGTTTTGTTCTAGAACAGTTGAATGCCATTCCTGAAGTAATTTTCTACGTAACATCCGAATCAAACCTCAAAATTAATCTATCACATCAGGATTTTGAGCAATCCTAACCTAAAAGTAAAAAAACACGATTTTGGCGATAGTACGGATATTATGACATCGTGAATCAATTGTATTTTTCAATAAATGGATTATACTATCAGAGAGTAGCATTCTTACCCTTCAAAAGTCATTCTCCAAATCTATAAAATCTTTTTTTTCACTGAAATATCATTAGTTGAAGTTTAATATTATAAAGGTTTTTTTGTGAATCCTGAAATATGACTAATTTTTCCAGAAAGTAGATAATATCCACAGTAACTATTCATTGAATTCTAAATTAGTAAGCTAAAAACTATAGAGATAAATATTATTTTTTTCCAGTAAAAATTCAACTTATTTTATGATTTTCAAGATACCTCTATAATACTAAATTTCAACTAATGAGATCTCAATGAAAACAAAAAACTTTCTGAATTTAAAGAATAGGTTTTGAGGGGTAAAATTGCTACTTTCAAATGGCAAAATCTATTTTTGAAAAAAAAAATTAATTCACGATGTAATCATACCTGTATTATCACAAAAATAAGTTGTTTCTTCAATTTTTAAATAAGGATTGATCAAAGTTCTAAGGTGATAGAGTAATTCTGATGATAGATTCGGATTCCGCACAGAAAATTACTTCTGAACAACAACGACCCTATTTTTTGCAGGCCTGTGTTATTAATTATTCTCGGTAGTGTTGGACTGTTTTTCTCAAAAATATGCAACAGCAACAGTAGATGAAATGTTATCGTGAATCAGATGTGACTTCCAGAATTTGTACATTTATTTTGATCCGCAAAAGGGATCTGGTGTATATACTCGCAAATATAATGTCACAGAATAAATATAATATTGTGCCGATCGCTATCAAAGAAAAGTTATAAAGACATTTAATAATCTAAAATACGTAAAATGAATGTGTAATGGTTATTAAAGCCATCGGAAATTGAGGTCATTTCGCGCGGACGAGTGCCTCATTGTTTCGCGAAAATAAAGTGAATAAGCGCTTTTTTTCCTTTCTTCTTCACCTCTATATAGGTGTAGGATAATCAAGGCGTCACCAGAAATTCTGTGCCGCGTGTAAACCTTGCAGCGCGCGAGCTCATTAGGGTCGATCCATCTAATTATGAAGCCACATGCTCACGCACGAATAATGAAATAATTTGACGCTGGAGCTACACACACTTGCATCGGGGGCACAATGTCGAGTGACTTCCTTGAGAAATTTCTCTGCAACCTGAGGAGAAGAGCGGTTTATTGACCGAAGACTACAACGACGACACTCGCTGAAAATTGGGCTCCGTGGGATCCACTGTGCACTTGGCGCAGCTTGTTTTACCTTATCCGGAGGCCTTGTTTGCGTTATCAACGAGTCTACCAGATTTATCATACATAGCTTCTGCCTCTGAAACTGGTAATGAGAAAACGCTAATGAGCATGCGAACTTACAACCTACTGGAGAACTAACTGCATCAAAACCTTTATCATCAATTCCATGCGCTCCGCGTTGATGTTCTCTCAATAATTAAATTGATATGTATCTTATCGATTCTTTCTTTTTTTGACCAACAATGAACTATGAGGATTACAATTATTCAATTTTATTTGTATGAGACGACTAACAACATATGTATGTACAAAAAAACACGAATATCGTGTCCGTATGAAACTTATATATACAAAAAAATATTTCTACAAGTAATAAACCAACGACGCTCAACGTCATTCACGAAGTATAAACACTCGAAACATTAACAATTATTCTTAATGAGTACCAGGTAATTACAGCCAATATTACATGCATCAAGAACATTAAGTGCATAAATGTGCTGCGACGCGAAACAAAAAACCATTGCGTTCTCGTATTTTTTGCTCGTAGCAAATCATTATAAAAATGTAGTGGATTATGGAGATGAGAGTGAGTGGTAATAATATAATTATTTTCAATGTGTTGTTGTTTTTTACAATAGCAGCTTGGCAAAAATGATGGGAGCAAGAACGAGCAGAATGTTAATAGTCGATTGTCCGTGGGCCGAGCTGAAGGCTTGCTTATCTAAAAGTCTGCACTGCGAGCTTCGGAAATGTTTAACATTTCCCACGGAATCTCTGGCGAGGACACAAAGTTCATATTTAGCATTAGGATCTGGCAGGTCACGTATCTTGTACGATCGTTCCTTGTAAACTATGTCCTTCTCCAATACATTCTTTCTGCCACCTGGTTCGCGTACCACCAGATAAAAGTCACCAGTATCGTCTCGAGTGGCCACGTACCATGATACCTTCCACGTGTTCGTTTCCTCGTCACTGAAAATCGAAATCATTCTTCATTAATTACTAACGCAGCTATAGTAACGCAGTATTTTTTCCCGATTCTTAAATTTGTGTACATTTTTGGGTTACGCCGATCGTAAATTGATGTTTTATTTGTCATTCAGTGAATATGTGAACAACTGAAAGATTTTATAATAAAATATAATTTTTAAACATAATTTTTTTACTGACGTTTGTTTTAATTTAATGGCCATATTCAATTATTAACACAGGTTAAAAAGGAATGTAAAAATCGCCATAATGAGTGTACAGTAAAAGATAAAATTTCTGATTTTGCCAATATGTTTTGCAGTAATTACTTTTTGTATGCATTCTTTACAACAATACATCGTAAAATAAAAATACCAGACATAATCCAACAACAATGATTTGAAATCAATGGTATTCTTCAAATAAATAATTATCTCGTTAAAAGAAATAAGAAAACCCTTACTATTCTATGTCTCGATACTTGACATCGGGGGAAATGTCATATTTCGGATCCTCTAGAACCTCTTTATCGCTACAGCTCATTAGCACCTCTTCGACCTCCGCTAGATTCATATCAGCAACGTAACTGGGACTTGTGCATTCAACCTGTCCCCAATCCTCGGGCACCTCTGTAAATGTATCGAGCCATCTTCGCAACGGGCGGACATAACAGTCACAATGTAAAGGATTGCCTGAACGAAACGTTTAATTTTAAAATTATTGATAGCATTTTGACGTAAGAAATTATGTAAGCAAATTTAATGATTTAAATAATTTGTTGGAGTAGATAAATGTGATAATTAATTACCGGCATACTTGAGGCTAGTTCCATTTTTGAGTAATTTCAGCAGATTGTCGTCGAAATGATTGAAATCGTTATATTGTAAATCTAAAAGTTGTAAGTTTGGCATAGGTACTAATTTATCCCACGGAAGATGATTTAATTTATTGTAACTGAGAATCAAATTTGTCAAGTTTTGTGGAGGTGAGAAGACGTTCTCTTCGGATAAATCGGTTAATTCATTGTGAGATAAATCTAGAGTTTGCAGCGATGTCAAATTGCCAAGCACATCTGAAAAATAAAATGATTCAGTTTCTAGAATTTATGCGTATAGACAAATTTCAATTTGCATTCAATTCTAATATTCACATTTTCGAATGTCATGAATATTGTTGTGACTCAGATTCATGAAAACAACTTTACGTGTGCCCAGCGTAAAGTCATAATTTAAAACTGGAATACTGTTGTAAGAAAAGTCAATTTCCTTTATATTGTAAGGAATCCATGGATCATGCGGTAAAGTGTGGCTCGTGATAAATGCCATTTTATTATGACTCATATTTATTCTTTCAAGGGACAAACAATCATCTAAGAGCCCATGAGTCTTATTGTCAAGTTTTTCTAATTGATTATGAGAAAGATCTAGGGTTCTCAATGACGATAAACCTCTGAATGCACCGTTGGGAATATGCGTGATTTCATTGTTTGTCAAATTTAGAGTCAATAATTGGAGAAGGCCTTCGAATGCACGCTCACTTACGTTTCGAATTTGATTATTAGCAAGATTAATTTCAAAGACTATGGGTAATCTACCGAACGAGGCTTTGTTCAGATACGTCAAATTATTATCCTAAAAAAATAAAATATTTTTTATGTTAGTCCATACTACAGTGTAATTGCTGATCATTCAAATTAAAATTTGTCGAATTTGTTTTACTATACCTGCAAATAAAGATACTGTAAGCTAGTCAGTTTGCTCAGAGCTTCCCACGGTGGCCTAGTGATATTATTCGCCTGCAGGTACAGTGTCCTCAGTGTAAGCAAACTTTCGAAACTACCTGTGTAGAGATTGTTACCTAACCGATTGTGCGATAGATCGAGCGAAAGTAACGCGTTCATTGATGGCCATACATCAGTGCTTGGAATTTCTTCCAAAAGATTTTCCGAGAAATCTAAATGTCCTAGGGATATTGGTATGAGGAACATCTTTGTCAATTGATTGTGTTTTACTGTTAACGTTCTGTAAAAATTTACGTAAAATTAGATTTATTACTTTACGTAATATAAATGTGTTCCAAACAAATTTCACTCTCACCTGCAACTTGCTAATCTTGTGAGACTTCCGCGAGATATATCTGTTAATTGATTGTAACTCAAATCCAAATCTAATAAAGTCGGTAGGGGTCCAAATGTCGATGGTTTAATTTCTTCAAGCAAGTTATGCGACAAATTCAATGAACGTAAACTAAATAGCGTTTGAAAAATAGCATTATAAATATCCGATATGTTATTATAGGACAAATCGATCGTATGAAGTTCATAAAGTTTTGGGAACGTGTGTCGTGGAATGGTTCGTATGGTATTATGTGACACGTTCAAAACTTTCAAACCAGTCATGTTATGCAGAGGTACCTAAACATAAAAAAATATTAAAGATTAAGCAATACATTTTTAGCTGAACTTTTTAATATTGTATAAAATATCTTACTTGATTTAGAGAAGTTAAAAAATTATAACTGAACTGCAACTCAGTGGCGTAAGTAGTACTGTCGAATGCATTTTTCGAAATATTTTCCAGTTTATTGTGACTAAGGTCCAATATTAAAATATTGGCACAATTTTCGAAAGCACCACTTTCAATTTTTGTAATTGCGTTGTGAGAAAGATTAACTTTTGCCGAAAATAGATCTTTGAAGGCTAGTTTTTCCACAATACTAACCATATTTTCCGAAACGTCGATTATCTAGAAAGCAAGCAATTCATTTTTTATTTTTGCAGGAAATTAGAAAATATTAATTCATCATTTCAACATGTTGTGCATATGGTAACCTCAGCGTACTGCAGTTGATAAAACATTTGGTAATCCACTTTCTTAATCAGATTTTTAGATAAGTCAATAGTGCCGATTCTCGTCATTGTTCCAAATGTTCCTCGACCTACATCGGATATTCGGTTGTTGCTCAAGTAAAGACGTCTCATTAAACGCATTCCTCGGAAAGTATTCGAGTCGAGCTTCCTTATCTTATTGCTGTTCAAATTCAGAACTTTCAATAAAGAGTTTCTCGCAAATGTGCCTCTGCAAAAGAAAAAATTATTGAATTTTCGTTGCAGTTCCATATTTAAAAGTGAACTGAAATGAATGAAAAATTACCTTTTCAAGTCAGAAATTGCGTTATGAGATAAATTGCAAAAGCCCATTTTCGTGAGATCTCCGAAATGAGATGCATCGATCTTGTCGATTTGATTGTAGGATAAATCGAGCGTTTCTACATCTCTTAATCCTTTAAATTGATTCTTTTTCAAGTCTTTCAACTGATTTCCATGCAAGTCGAGCGATTTCAATTTCTTTAGCGGTCCAAAGGTTTCAACGGGTAATGCACTCAAAGTACCTAGAATACAACCGAAAGAATTAGTATTCTTTATTAGGAAACTTTCTACTCTTATACATATTCTACTTGTGAAACAAATAAAAACAAATGTTACCATTGCTGATTTCTAAGCGCTCAATCTTGGAGGCCGCGAGACTTTCTATGAAAATATTAGTCGGTAACTCGCTTATTTTATGACCTCTCACGTTCAAGACGCTGAGATTTCCTAAAATTTGCAGTGCTTCCTTGGGAAATTTCTCCAATGAGCCACCTATTACGTGAAGTTCCTGTAACGTACGATTCACACCGAGAAAACTGTGCTCCTCGATGAATTTCAACGGAGTATCTATAAACTTTAAGACTCGAACGCTCAGAGAGTAAAGCGCCGGACCATAATATCTGGCTGCAAAATATGGGAAATAAAAAATAATAGTCCGAAACATAATGTCGAGAAGAACCACGAGAAACACTTACCAATTTTACACTTGTAGATCGTCAACTCTTCTATGGGCATTTCCTCATTTCCAAGGTTAAGGAATGCAAGACTGAGACTTGCTAAATTTGCGTTCTCGCACTCGACGTAGAGACCTTGATCGCCACCACGGACACACATGCACGGGTGTAAGTAGGCTGCTTCGCTTGGGCATGTAAACTTTGGTCCTGGTGGCACGTAGCCGCCAAGTGCCGGCAGAATGTATCCCAACAGCAATGCGAGAGTCAACATGTCGCTGTAAAGTATTATAAATCACGTTAGTTTTGCTTTACTATTTTAATAAAATGATATCATGGGCTATTTCACGAGAACAGTTGCCGGAACTAACTTCCAAACTGGTTTTTAATATGATCGTTAAAGTTATTGGGACAATAAAATTGACGCTATTTTATTTTACCTATATGATTTTGCATTCTTTCGTTATCTTTATAAAGTGGATAACTTCGGAACAACTCTTTTTTTTCTAATTTAACACACATCTAAAATCAAATTGAAAATTTCACAGTTAGCAAAACTCGGTTTTACAGTTATCATTGACCGAAAAATGTCTCCAAGTATAATGACCATCTCGATCGCAAATAAACCCACGCGTACTCGCAAAATTTACAGCTGTCTTTTTGTCTAAAAAGGAAAATATAAGAACAAATAATTGCTCCAATTTGGCCCTTTTTTATGCAAAAAAGAAATGTTATTCTCCATAATATTCGCCGTGAGTTCATAGTAAGCTGCGCACAACTACAATTATTTTTGTCCCGCGAGAAGAGCGCATCGGGACGAGTAGAGGGAAGAGAAGGCGCGCGCAGAGTAATTTATTCGCATGGCTGCTGTTGCTGCCAGCCGACTTCTCGCAAGGGGATAATCATCATCGTAAACGTCCTTGGTATACATGTGCTCTTTCTCTCTCTTTCTCTCTCTCTCTCTCTCTCTCTCTCTCTCTCTCTCGCTCTCTCTCTCTCGTCTATCTAGCACCATAATTCAAGTATCTCCCGCTGTACTACTGCCTACGCTTTGGTGGCACGACGGACGCCCACTCGATTTCTAGCTCATTGTCAAAAGAACGTGCAGTGCAGAAAAAGATGAAGAACAAGAAAGAAGAAGCCCACAACTTCCTTTTCTCCTCTTTCTGCGCACAACCAAACGCAAATCGCCGCGGCTGCCAGCGTGTTTGAGAAACGTACCATTATGCCTATTCAGTGGCTCTGATCATCGTGATAAAGAGATACGCAAGAGATGCGATTATTACACGGACTCTGTGAAGACGTACGCGTGCAAGAGAGCTTTTGCTCATTTTTCATCAGCACTGCGGTTTACCTTCTTATCGCGTGGAACCATTCAATTACTCACCTCTGCTGAAATTGGCGTTGGAGCGTCAGCAAAACACTGCCCACCTCCATCAATTGACATCATTATTTCGTCAACACTGGAACTACCAATTACTCAAATCTCAAGTGTGCGAAAAAAAAGAGTTATCGTTATCGGAAATTTTCATCGACAATTTAATCTATCAACCGCTAATGAAGGAATTTCACTTGAGTAGTTTGCGCCAATTTTCGAAGGATAACACGGCTTGAGTTTTACCGATGCTCTTATAAACTTTCTCAATTTTGTCGGACGAAAAATAAAGTGAGCGATCGACATTAAGGTGTAAATCCGCTCAGATTTCTATTTACTTCACGATGAATCAATAAGATGTTACATTAAAAAGGACGCAACTGATTCCAGTATTTCGTAAAATACAGCCATATACCAAATATCGAATTATCCAGATATTTTTATTGCAAATTGCAGCAAATCGTAAGAGTAAGAACAGACGAATAAATATTCAACAATCGCTTTCGTCCAAGGCAATCTCTTACAAAATCTGTTTGAATTTGCGTTTAAAATAATGGCGATCTCAATTTCAGCCCTTGTTAGACGAACATTCCACTGTATCATTATATGGGAGCTGGAAATTGGATTGTTATAGTAGAGTAGGGGAATGTGTTATTAAATAATTTACATTATTAACTTAATTTGTGTAAAATTAGTAGAACCGATGGTGAGAGATTTGGGGTCAGCATAACTGGTCGGTACGAAAAAGGCAAGAGGTTTGAAATCCCAAGTGTGTGAAGTCAGCGATGCGCAAATAATGAACCAGATGCGTAACCAAGCGTTCACATACAAGCCTTTAAACTATAAATCTTCCTTCTGTTCTACCTACGCATTGTTGAATAAATATCTTTTTGTTTTATTGTTTTTCCAAGATATCACCGAGATTTTCCAGAGCACACGAAGGAAAGTCGTTGATTTTATTAAATTATTGTTATTTGCAATCTATAAAAAATAGAATGAAAAGCAACTAGACGCGATGTCAATGTGCATATGGCATACAAGCATGTCCAGATTTTGCCCGATCGCATTGACACGAACTCGCGAGGCCATTTGCAAGTTTAATATCTTTTTCGCGCCCTTCGAGCAACGGTCACTAGACTGGTTTCATATGTGATTTGAACGTAAATCGAAGATGACGAGTCTGCTCTTCGTTTTTGCGCGCGAATTTGATATACGTCATCGCTGCTACAGCCGCGAGCAAGATGCATAATGCAGTGGCTGAGTATAAGATTAATAACACAATTTGCGAGTACATTTGAAATATAAGGAATGATATTTCTTGTAAGGACGTGTGACGTAACGAGATTATCGATTATCGTAACTAGGAAGAGACATATATCGTGTCACTTAGAGACAATATCTGTCGCTCTTGTAACTTTGTTTTTTTCCATTTTACTGTTTTCATCGGCTGAAAAATTAATGTCATAATATGTTTATTAAAAATACTCATTGAATAGAATGCGTGAGCATTCAGGAACAGCATAAAATTTGAGTATCCCATAAGCATACGGCACAAGCTACAAATATTCGTTCAAATACTTTTTAATATTAATTAATCGCCAATTAAACACTGTAATGGCTTATTCACATAAAGTATGCTGGCTAATTATTTTTTTTAATAGTTATGCAAAAGATTATATCTTACTCGTAGATCATAAAATTAGTTAATGACAAAACCGAGCCATCTAGCAATAAGAGCGTATATTATTAAGAAGTTGAAATATTTCAATTGGTAGCTTTCGTAAAATGAAAATTGAGTCATTAATGCGATATAATTTTAGCTCTCTAAATTCGTAATACTATAGTTTAGCATTTTTACAACGAATTATATAACAAATAACGTTACATGGATCCCAATAATCATCATTTATAATGACAATGTAGATTTACGGTGAAAGAGAAATATAAAAATAAAATCCTGGAGAAAGCTATCGTGGGAAGCGCGAGGCCGATAAAAGTTGATGACAATGATCAAACTTGAGAAAAGCCGTTAGTCGAGCTCTTTTCGTTCAGAAGAATAAGAGTTGAATAAAATAATTCGCACTTGCCATACGCTAACCACATACAAGGACTCGCATGTGAAAATGAAAATATACCTTGTTCGGGTGTGCACGCGCGCTTGGTACTTTCCTTGGCGACTTATTAATGGCGAAATGCAATACTTCAAGAGCGCATATATCACGTGCAACGTCACTCGCGCGCTATTTTATCAAATGAGCAAAGAAAAGAAAAATATGGCAACTGTGCGCGCGCGAAAAGAAAGGCATACCGCTCTAGTTTTGCCGCACTCGATAATTTATGCCGCACAGATAAATGTAAGTCGATGTCTATATGTCTATGCGCAAGTACACGCTATGATGTCGACATCCGGGAAAAGGTTTTAGAATTCGATTGTGACAAAAAATATCCGTGTTGCCTGTACCTATTTGCTATCAGCAAATCGAAAGTGTCATTATCACGGAAAATCTTTCCCTTATAGCACAAAAAAGGTGCATTGTTTCTCGTTTTTTTCCAATTATAATGGTCTATTTTTTAAGATTTGGCGATAGCAAATCATAGCGAATGCAGTTTGTCTCACTAGTTGAACGTTATGAACTATTAAAATCTGATGTAAATTAATAATTTTCTATTTACGTTCAAAGTCAAGATAGGCTTCGAAATATTGTTTTAACACTAAATTTATAAAAGATTAGCAAACTCCGCAGTCAATTTTAGGGTTTTACATTACAACGTTCTCACGAAGCATTGCCTAAAAATCGGAATTATCGATCGTTGTCGATCGAAATTTCGAGCACACGGCGGCTCTTTCAAAATAGGATGTGAACGTTTCATCACTCCACTCGAGCAACCGATGCAACAGTTTTGTTGCAAGCAGCATAATGTAGAAAAATGAAACATAAGTGTGTTTGAGCATAAATATAGAGTAAGTAACGCATGTGAAGTAGAAACTGGGACATGTTACAATATATAAATAGAATATATAAATGCCAAATATTGCGAAATTGAAATTATTTTACATGACTTCGCGTAAAACTTCAAATTTACTTTTTACTGTCCGACGTAAATAAATGTATTCATACGGTTGAAAGCGAATAGAACAAAGATGCATAAAAATTATGTGAGATACTTTTGTAAGGTCCGTCGATTATATAAGTACGTGAGAAAAGCAATGTCGAATATTAGAGTCACTGTGACATCTTGATAATCGCGCAGCCATTACTCCAACAATAAAACAATTTTACAGTTGCCCCACAGACAACAAGGAGTATTGTAATGTGTTTGTTGAAAATACTCATTGAATAGAAGGTGTGAGCATTCAGGAACAGCATAAAATTTAAGTTTCGAAATTGGTGACGATGGTAGAACTTCAATACAATAAGCCATCATTACCATCTATACGAGCGCGTTGAACTTACCGCAGCCTTCGCCGAGCATAATTGGACATGGCAAGCGTTATGCTTATAAGTGCAGGTGCATATACACCAGCCCCATTCCCATCTGAACACTACTTTGCACTACTGAGATACATATTTTTTCAATTCTCCCGGTTTTCTACGTTAATTTATCTGATAAACAATGAAGGAAATGGCTTCTAACTAGTTTCATTTTTATATTTCATTTACTCATAATTGGTTAGTGATACGTGGAGACTAGTCATTTTCATTTTTCTAAATGTGAACACGCTTTCATTCGATTTTAATATATTTTATCGTTGCATTGTAATAATGTATATCATGATTTTTTAAAGGTATAGCGTTACTTCTCTGTTTCAAAATACTGAATTAAATAAAAATTAGATTAGATGATAACGCATCTTCAATTAATCATGCCTACAAGAAATAACGAAATCTTGACTCTGCTATTACGTTAGTTTTAAAAATTCAATAGCTACATTATTTATTTTCTTAGAAGTGGTTTCGTAAAACGTTCAAATTATATTCACTATTACTTACATTCAAAGAAAATTATATAGAAAAATTCTTACCTGCTTTTAAAATACACTCTGCAGGCGCATATCCAATGCGTTTCCCCAAAAAATGAAAGTGAGGGAGTAAGAGAGAGAGAGAGAGAGAGTAAAAGAATGAAAAAAAAAAAGCAAAAGCAAAAAAATGAAAGCCGTAACTCGAGCCGTCGACCTCGCGAGAGAGCACGCCGGGCCAGTATCCGTTTCAGGACATATCGCAGGCTGGTTTCGGGACGACGCCAGAATTGAAACTGACTTGGGACCCGACTGGCCGCGAAAAGCCAAAGGCAAAAGAGAAAGGTTTCTCGGCTACTGTTGTCTGTTCTGTCAGCAGACAGCAGCGCCGACGTCCTATTTTCCTCGATTCTCTCACCGAGCCTCGACTCCTTCTGTTTCTATTTCCTTAAGAACGATCAGGCTCCAAAGAGCTTGGGAAAATTCATCGCACAACGAATAGATAAACAAAGGCAATTCTAGGGAATGGGCTCCGCGTTTCACGCAGCCGCGAAATCGTGGGACGATGACGCAGCCGATCGAAGAAAGTCCGATCTCGAGTGAAAGTGCGCGCACCGGTGGTACGCATTGGAGAACGACGATCGCTGGCGGCATCTGCTGGTGAATCGGTACCAAGATCGCCGGCTATCTTACATCGATGAACAGCTGATTGTTGGTAACCGCACTGAGAGCTTACGCTCTGCCAATAATAAAGCGTAGCGTACATTTACCCATTGATGCTATTCGTCCTGTTATCGATATGTTTGCTCATTTCTGTTATCCGCGATAATAGCAATTTTCAAATAAAAATTTGTACAATTTTTTGAAATTTTGAGGTACGATCGAAGCTAATAAACATATTAGGATGAGGGTCACATTGGATCTGGACTATTATTACTCCTATCGTTCCAAAGGTAAAACATCAATTACTTCAGCTTATTCTTAACTTGTGATATTATTCGATTAATTGAATACAATAATTAATACCTTAAATGTAACAGCGTGATTTGAAAATTTTTAAATTCATCAAATGCTTATACGTTATTCTGTCATTTAATATTTTTCGACTCACTGAATATTTGTCGGATAGTAAAGAGCCTTAGTGCAAAATAATATTTGGACTTTGAAAAAGATGTTTCACGGGAATGGTTTCTTTGCAAGTAAAGTGAAATGTTGAATAAGATTTAGAAAAAAGTAAAAAAAAACTGCAAAAATCAGTAATCCTCAATACATGTAATCATAGTAATCCTTAATGCTAATGTGATTGCTAATTTTATTATTTTTCAATATTAATTCTTATTATTTTGAAAAGTAAAGCAGTAACAAATGATAGTTTACTTCATTGACTTTTATTTGAGACACCTTAGAAACAAATTATACACTAAAGTTTATGTTCATGACAGTTTTAGGTCAACATACATGAGTGAGCATAAAACTATATAATTACTAGAAAAATTTCATCCGATGCATGAAGATAATAATTAAATATTACATATTAGATTAAAATTTTTCGTAAAGAGGTACTTTCGAGTTTTAATCTTGTAACATGGAAATTTCTTTTGCATTTGCGAGTTACATAAAATATAGCTGCTATTGTCATACATGAGATATAAATTAGGGTAAATACTAACAATTTTATACGAAAATTATCTTTTCATTGGTATCAAAACTGTATATTTTTTTGAAATGTATATAAAACGTAAGACTTACATGTAAATTAACTTATTGTTTAAGAGTAAAGTGTGTTTTATAAAATATATTGTATTTAAAATGAGGCCCTACACCATGTTGTTATATGCTAGTAAATTTTAATTTTATGAGAATATTAGTATTGCTCGAGAATGATAAGTATAAAATGATAATATTACTGTAGCACTTATTCAAATACAGGAATTGATCTTATTCTTTCAAATCCGTCACAACTTATATCAGTCTCAGCTCCCTCAATTTGCATCGTTATGTTTTATTACTATAAATTAGTCTTAATAATAAGTATTACAAAATTTTCCTGCTCCTATATTAGTCAAGAATGAACTGTACATTCAAGCTATTCTTAGTATACCAAACAACGTAAATTATAATTGAAAATTAGCTATTAGTTCTCATTTTAAAAATCCTTACCCTCAAATTGGCAAACAAATCTTTGATTTAGTAAATATCTGAGAAATAAGGAGCTGGCCCTTGAATCTTATTTGGAGGAGTAAAGCTGATAGTCGGATCTGGATTGACAGGTGACCAAGACAGGCCAGCGTCATGCTTCTCATTTTCATAAACATATTTAATTTTGGGTTCAGTATTTGAACCTAAAATCATATCTCTTATCAGACCAAGCATCGCTGAACCCAATGCCATATTACTTAATAACCCTGCTACCGAAGCAACAGCTTTAGCATGAGCTAAAGCTAATTGAGCGAGAAAATTTATAGCAACACCAGCTGCAGGCATCATCTGTCCTACCTTCGACTTTATATCTCGGCCTATAGCACTTAAACTACTCGTCATTCTTCTACCAACAATTTTATCATTTAGTCGTGGTAGACGTAAAGTGAAGCCAGTTTGAACTTTCTTTTTATTTAAGCTGTAAAATGTCTGAATATAATCTATTAAATATGATTTAAATTTTGATAACCTTTCCTTTATTTGCAATTCCTTTCGAGAAGTGCTTGTACCATTAAAATCATCTTTGATTTCATATATTGCTCTACCTCGCAATTTTGATATTTTCAATTTATCTTCCAAATTCTTTTCCTGTGCTTCTAAAGATACAAGTTCCAATTCATCTATAGCCTTCAATTCATCATATTCATGTTGATTTATATGATTTTTATCAGATATAAATTTTAACCCGTTAGCAATTCTGTCTGAAACTTTCGGCCCAAAAAGTATCTGAAAGGCTGCATATGCATTTTCAACATCAAAATAATGCTTTATTTCGGTATCTTTAATATCTCCTATGGTAGGTTTGAGTTTTTCTAATAACATCTTAATTATAAAATCATCTTTTGCTAATCTTTTCGAATTATTTTCTTCATTTTTATGCCTCAGAAGTTCTTGTAAGTTAGATTCTTCAAAAGTATGCAAGCTACGATTTCTTTTCTCTTTTTTAGGATTGTCTTTTTTATTTTTTGTTTTTTCAGTTTTAGTATCAAAAACTTCTTCGATTACGTCACTTATGATTGTTAAAATACTTGGAAGACTTTTGTTGTCTTTTAATTTTGCTAACCTACCTTCACGAAATCCAGAAAATGTTACAGTCAATTCACCATCTCCGTGACCTTTTACTTTCAATGGGCCTACATTTGCTTCAAATATTTCGCCAGTTAACGACTTATACCACTGAATGAAATTTGATTCGATTTGTTCTTTGCGACTCACAAGTTCACTTTCAAACTCAGATGATGACATCCCTAATATTTCTTCAATTTGTGTTTCTTCTCTTGACCGACTATCACGATTCAGTGGAAGTCTGAATGGCGAAGGAAAATTGTTTACAATTATCGGCCACACAAATATTCCTACACAGCGTATAAAACTCAGACTTCTGATGCATCTAAATAATTGCCCCATGAAATTGGCTTTTTCTGTTTCAGTACTCAAGCCTTGAACCAATTTCAAAATCTCATACTGATCTGCTGTGATTAATGCTTTTTCAGTTTCATTCAAGGAATCAACAAATGGTTTATCAAATTTATTGTCTCCTTTTTCTAAATTTTGATTATTTTTATATTTTGATAAGTGCACTAACATTTCTAATAATTCGGTTTCAGTTAAATTCGGGAAATTCGATTGTGGCGGAATCCGTCTCGGAACAGAATTCTTTTTATCATTTGGAATGTTATGCGGATAGGAGTCAAGTAAATCATCAATATTACGTTTGCTTCTATTCAAAAATCTTGAACGATTATTTCGGAAAATTTTCTTGCTTGATTTTCGTTGAGATTGGAAATTCAAAAAAGATACTGATTGTTGATCCTTTTGTTTTGGAGTACTGGAATCTGTACCTGAAAAATTATATTGCTTATTAATTTTTTATAATATATAACGTTTTGTTTGGGGTGAAGACAATGTTTTGCTTTTTCAAGTTGATACAAAGAGAAAACATGGATTTTGGAAATTCCTTATTGAGTTCAAATACTTCAAATGCAATTCCTTTTAAAATTAAAAAGTAAAACTTTGTCTCATTTCTAAAGAGGACAAGGTGCACCTACTGCCGGACTGATATTCAGATTCCAAGTATCTTCAATTTGTTTATAAATACGGCTTCCATCTGATAATTTTCCAAAGGGAATATAAGAAGTTTTGAGAATGTTTGGTGTTTGTAAAGCTAAAGTACTATTAGTGTTTCGTGATCCAAAAGGTACGAGTGTACATACGAAACCCATGTTTTCGCAAATAATTTCAAAATCATTCGGTGCGTTATGAGCATCGATTCCGAGATTAAAGGATGGTTGTGCATATATTGGATAATAATCATCTAAATTAAATCCTGGTGCATCATAGTATTTTTTTAAAATTGGATAAACGAGATCATTACTACAAGACATGGCGTCTGAGTATTGAATACATTGAGTCATTTTAATATAGAGATCGTAGTACAATGTGTTCGGTAATTTATCGATTAATTTCCTTAAAACTTCACCCTTATCTTCTGGAACGTATCTGAAGAGAATATCTAGAGCAGGTAGAGTTTTTTTCACATCATAAGATCTTGAAGAAGTACTTGTTTTTTTCAAATTATTTATTACAAATATCATGTTAGATCTATCAAGATCATTTTTAAAATCTGGAAAATCTGGAAAATTGATATATGCACGTTTCATCAATGGAAACATGATATCTTGAGAGCAATTCAAAAATGATTTTTTCATATTACACTGGAACATTTTATCAAGAAATCCTTTGCGATACTCGTCTGGTAAAATACCTTCTGCAACAGTAAGTACATATGCTTGTCTCATACTGTAGGCTGATTTGAATTCTGGCGAATACGCAATAGATTCTTTTGGAAATTGTGGTAAAGACGGTGCATTCAACTGAATTTTACGAAGCATTCCGAGTATAACTACTTCTGGATTCGGAGGATAAACTGGAGGGTACTTTCTATCCG